CGGCATCACGACAGCGAGGGGCATCCCCCCCCCCCCGCCCCCTTCCTATGGCACAACGCCGCGCCGAGAGGAGCAAGCGGGCGGACAAACAGGCGGACGAGAAACATCAACCGTATGGATAGGGTGCGTAAGAAACCATACACCCCGAATCGATATCCAAAGCCCGATAAACTCGCGCCGCGCAGTGCCCAAAAATGGCGGCGTTGGAACTGACTGCCGAAACCGCAATCATTTTTATTGCAGCATCCTCTTAGTCGTGGAGCGACAACTAGTTCGGTCATCGTGAGCATCTGGTGCAACCTTTCGGCAAGCATACAACGACGCAAGTCCTCCCTCACCCGAGCTTCTCCCAGCCACCCGCGCCGCCGCTTCCGCCGCTGCCGCCGCCGCTCCGCTGCTGCATCTCCCGCAGGAAGGTCACCACCGCAGCCGCGGCCGAGGCAACAAGCGCCGCCTCCTCGGCGTCTGACCCTGGCTCGAGAACCACCACCGCGTTCTCCGCGGCGAAAACGGCAGCGATGCCGTTTTCCTCTGCCGCTGAGATGGCCTTGCATCCCCACAGCTGCCCGGGCTTGAGACCGGCGGTGCCGGCGTCGAGCTCAAGGTCTTCGAGGAGGCGGACGAGGTACAGGAGCACTTCTTCCGCCACGCGCCTGGACACACGGACGGCAGCGGCAGCACCGCGGCACAGGCGGACGCAGAGCAGCAGCAGCAGCAGCAGCAGCAGCAGCAGCAGCAGGGTGCGCAGTAGCAGCACGGTGAGAGCAAAGGGTGAGCAATAGCAGCAGTTGAGCAGCAGCAGCAGCTGCGGCGTCGATGTGCGAAAATTCTTGTGGCGCTTGTCACAAGCTACAGCAGCACTTGTCGGAATAAAGCCACGGCATCTTGTTCTTCGACTACGGATTCGGTACAGTAGCATTGGAGAATTTAGTTGTCATTGCCGCTGCTGCCGCCGCTGCTGCCGCCCTTGGTGTATCGAGACTAGACGACGGCAAAACCCCTGCTTCCCCTGGTTGGCCAACGCCCCAAAACGCCTTCACGAAACTGTCCATGACACACCCGCAGCCGTATCGTTTCGACACAACTAACCCTACAACCACCACCCAGAAATTTCCACCGCACCTACAGCAACGCAAGCATTCCAACGCACCACATTGAGCCCCGTCCTAAGAAGCGCTCATTCAGAAACATCGTCGTCTCGAGTGAGCCCGTATGACTTAACCCCGCAACAACATCCACCAGTAGCATGCTCTAGACCCTCCAAAGGCCACCCCGATGGGTGCCTCCAAAACCCGTTCGCATATCCCCGTAGCGCAGGGATATGAAGTGCGGCGCGTTTCCGGCAACCTGAAGCAGGCATCCCTGCTCTGTACGATCACAAGTCCACCCCGAATTGGGCCCCCCAAGTCCCCCCCGTGCTCCTGTCTCCGGCCCTGTATTCTGTATCGAACCCCCCGGACCAGACTAACCGGATAAACCCTCACCTGGCGTCACCCACCGGCAGCCGATGCAGCACACCCGCAACCCGAACCCGATGCGCCGCCAAGTCAGTGGTCAGGCTGCCACCACTACAACTACGGCCGCGCCCTGGGCCCGCCTTTCCTGAGATCTCGGAGATGATACCACTGCCGCCGCCGCCGCCGCCGCCGCCGCCGTCGTTACCGTTCGCGGCTGCTGCGTCGGGGTCGGCGGAGCCTCGCCCCGGGTACGATCCGGCGAGGTTCTCTAGGAACTCCACGTAGACGTTGGTCTCGCTGAGGTGGCTGTACGCGTGGGCGACCTGTTGAAGCGAGGCGGCGCAGGGCAGCTTGCTTGGTGGAGGGTATGCAGTGCATGTGGCGTGGTGTGTAAAATAGGGCGGTTGGTTAACTTTAGGGTGGGGGAGTCAACACCACTGCTGTTTGCAGTGCCAGAAAAAAGTTGTTGGTGCCCTACTCGAACAAGAAGAAGCGCGGTTAAGTTTAGCATGGGGGAGTCAACACCGCACTGCTGTGTGCAGCGCCAGAGAAAGAGTTATTGGTGAACTACTCGAACGAGGGACGACGAAACCTGCGAGCTTGCCAAGCTGACCTAAATATGCCCACGAGAGCTCACAAAGGTTCAAGAGACCCCAGAAAGATGAGAGAGGGGATACAGACAGTAGCAGGGCGGGTCGTGCTAGTCCGAACTTGGCGTGTGGGGACAGGATGGCAGGGGACACGCCAGGTACGTGCCATCAATGCAGCATCAACGACAACAACAAGTACAGGGGGCCTACGCGAAATCAACGAGGAATTTCCGTCACATCACCTGTAGACCATCGTCCAGGGCAGTTGGACACTGTACCTGCGCCAGCACATGCCTAGGCCGGGAAAGTGAATAAAGAGAGAGAGAGAGAGAGAGAGAGAGAGAGAGAGAGAGAGAGACGAAGAGAGAAAGCGAAAGAGTGATTGAGAGAGATGACAGAGGGACAGCCGGGGGGAGGGGGAGAACGAGAACGGAGAAACCTCAAAACAATGGTATCAAGGAAATCTGTTCAAAGTGACCCGAGGGTTCAGTGACACTGCGCATCTCTATCCGTCTTCAGAGTTAGATGTTTGGCATCATAGCAACTTCCCATCGTGGGGCAGCGGGACGGATGCAACCAGAGGACGGAAACGTCCGATCGGCTATCAATAGCCAATCCGCGACCAATCACGTACACACGCACAGAGCCTAGAACAACGACCCGCCATGTAAACGCGCTGCAAAAGGCGCGCGAGTGTGTGTGCAGCAGACAGCAACCAAATCCCGACAGCACGCAGAAATACCGCAGGTGTACGCGCTCCACATCCAAGCGAGTACTGCCCCCGGCCCCCCGTCACCTCACGACTCGCCGCCGACAACCGCGTCAGCACGCAACTGACTGTCCTTCCTTCGCTTAAGTTTTGCCAAACCTGAGCAGGCGTGTCGCACGAGGGGCGTCGACGAGGTTGAACCCTTTCACGTGGTACCGCTGCACGATCTGGGACAGGCTCAGCGTCGTAGCCGCGCGGCGCAGCTCTGCGTCCAGCGCTCCACCCCACGACAGCGCTTCCTGCGGAATGGATTCCCACGAAAGGCGTCCGGTCGCTCGTCGGTTGGTTGGTTCGTCCGTTTGTTCGTCGGTTGACTCGCTTGGTAGAATTTGTCCACCGTTATACACGGAAAATAGAACAAAAAAGAAGCCGTGGGCGAAATCTCCACCCACACGGAATCGCACTGTCCCTCGCATGGACTACCATTTATCGGCCCACACAGCCCGACAGCTGTCTCAACAGGCTTCAAAGACGCCCACAGGTGTGGTGCGTACGACCTTCAAGGTCTCGCGGCGATCCGACCATCAGGGAGGCAGCACGCTGTGGTCATGTAGTGAGAGGTTTGCCTCTCGGAAGAATCCACGAATGGATGAAAAAAAAGACGTCCGGCAAAATTTATCGTTTCCCATACAAGAGTCTGCCTCGATGGTCTAAAAAACCAAGGCATGAAAAACATGAGCAACCCCCCCCCCGCGTCTCCAAACTCACCTGCACCAGCTCGCGGAGTCCCTCCGAGAAGGGAAAAGAGGCCGCGTTCGCGAGCGCCAGTACCGCCCTCGACCGGAGCTCCGAGCGACACCCTTCACCCGGCGACATGCACCGGGCAACGGCCACCGCTCGCTGCTCGGTAGTCAGACCACTCGCCCCGCTGGTCCCGCCGGGACCGGGGGCGGCGGCGGCGGCGGTAGCGGCGGAGCTCCCGGAGGAGGGATTGTTGTGTGCTCGGCGGCGGGTCACCATGGTCTCAGCGCATCTAGTGAGAGGGGGAGGGGATAGGTGGTTGGGCAAGAAGATAGGGGTGGGGGTGGGGGGGGG